TTTAGTTAAAAGAGCTTGTGATGAAGCCACTATCCAGGCCAGACACCAATACTGATCCTGGCCTGCCACCTACTGGCTAGTACTCAATATAGCTTAACCCAATTTACCTAGTCTTTCAATTTCCCTTGGAAACTGGATTTTTAGCCTTCACCCCAGGTTTCCAGTTAATCAATTATGGAGGGTTTTTTTCTCCTTTGCTTTCTAGGACTTTCCAGTCAAATACATGAAAAATTCATGTATTTAAAGTTGCTCTGGTGATATATGTATGTATGTGCCTTTTTACATATACTCAGGTATGCACATGTACACATACATACACATGGTGTGGACACATTCACACAGAGACAGCTTTAGTTATTATAGGATAATTTTAATGAAATTCCAAACAAAGCTATTTATTGTCTATCAAAATCAATCCAAATTCCTTAGTCTGATATTCAAGGCTCCCTAGGTGACAGCTAAAGTGGAAACTCATTACTGCCTGAAAATGCCTTGTCCTTTGTCAGTTCTGTGCCTGAAATCCCCTCCCCTTCCCCTACTCTCAGAACTCTATGTACCTTTTAAGTCTCAGTCTTCTTTGATCACCCAACCAGGAGCTTCCCTCCTCCCCTGAATTCCTATGGCACTTTATTGGCACTACTCTTAGGGCACTTTTCACATCCCATCTTGTATTAAGGGTAATTGCTGTACATCTCTTATTTCCTGCCATAGGATTGTAAATGCACTCACATCTGATAAAAGAAGAATTTGGAACAGATGTTCTATCAAGTTACTTCTATCTCTCAATTTCATAATTTTATGATCCCAATCTTTGCTTCCCCTCAGCTTCTAATATGACACTATATACAATCAGTGCTCACTAAATTTCATCAAAAGAATGAATAAATCCTCAACTTTACCAGAGTTGAGACTTCCTTTTATTGTTTGATGTTGTAATAAGAGAGTGCAAATCAAAACTGCTCTGAGGTTTCACTTCATACTCTGCAAACTGGCAAAACTGACAAGAGTGGAGTAATCTATGTTAGAGGGGTTGTAAACACACACACACACACTAATATATAAGTGGTAGAATTGTGAATTTAACCATCACAGAAGGCAACTTGAATTATACTAAGAAGGTGACCGAAGTGTCTAGACCCCTTGACCACTGGTAGGCATATGCCACAAGGAAGTTAAAGATAAAAAAATAGGTTACTGAGAGAAGCAGATATATATGTATGTATATGTGTATATATATACATGTATGTGTATATAAATGTATACACACACACACACAAAACACAGCACTCTTTGTAAGAACAAAGAACTGGAAACAAAGGAGATGTCCATAGAGTGGGGAATGACTAAAAAAAATTATGATTTATGAATATAGTGGAATATTACTGCACCCAGAGAAACAATGCAATCAAGAATATGGAGAAGCATGAGAAGGCTTACATAAACTGATACAAAGTGAAGTAAGCAGAACTAGAAAAAACAATACACACAATGATTACAACAAGGTAAATTTTAAGAACAAAAATGAAACCAAATGTTTCATAATTATAATAATCACCAACCTTTCTTTGCAGAAGTAAGGGACTATAGATGAGGGACATTACACATACTGTCAGGCTCCATTGATGTGGTAGTTGATTTTTTTTTAATTCTTTGCATTTTATCTCTTTGTTTTTTATTCTTTGTTCAAAAGTATTACTCTCTGATTAGGGGAAAGGCGGGATATATTTGGAAATGAAGATGATATAAAAACAAAAGATATCAATGAGCTTATTTTTAAAGTATTAAATAAATGCAAGTTGTTACATGAGAATTAGAACTAGAACCCAGGTATCCTGACTTTGAGGCCATTGTTCTTTCCATTAGACTATGGCAAAGAAAGACAAAATGAAACAATGGAAAGATTACTGGAATGAGAATTGGGAACCCTGGGTTTTAGAACTATTTTTGCCATTAATTTGCCATGTGACCTGGGTAAGTCTTTCTTATTTCTCAGGACCTCAGTTTCTCCATCTGTCAAATGAGGGATTTGGACTAGATCAGAGATGTTAAACATATGGTTATTGGGAAATATTTAACAAAAATTTAAAAATATAATAGAACATAGATAACGTTAATCTGTGGTTTTCTAAGTCAATATGTGGCTTGGAGGGATCCTTATGGTACATATGGTCATTTCTATTTGAGTTTGACAGTACTGGACTAGTCAATTTCTGAAATTTCCCAGCTCTGACAACCTTTCATTTTTGTCTTTGTAGAATGAACCAACATTAATTCTTTGCCTAGCCCTGCCTCAATTTCATAATACCCCTTGACAACAGGAATCACACAAAGATTTAGAGTTGGAAGACACATTAGAGCAATTTAATTCATCCTTTCATTTTATAGATTCAGTTCAATTGAATTCAAGAAACATTTAATAAGCACTACTTTGTGCCAGGCATTATGTTAAGTTCTGCAGATACTAAAAGAGGCAAAAAGACAGCCCCTGCCCACAAGGAGCTTACAATCTAATGGGGGAGACAACACGTAAACAAATATATACAAAGCAAACTACATGCAGTATAAATAGGAGATAATTAATAGAGGGAAGGCAATGGAATTGAGAAGGGTTGGGGAAAGCTTGCTGTAGGTGAGATTTTAGTTGGGACTTAAAGGAAACCAGGGAGATCCATAGTTGGAATGGAGGAGGGAGAGTATTCCAGGCATAGGGGACATCCAGAGAAAATTCCCAGAGCAGAGACATGATGTATCTTGTTTCATGGAGCAGGCAGAAAGCCAGTGTCATTGGATATCAGGGAGTAAGGTGTAAGAAGACTAGAAAGATGGGAGTTGGTGGAAGGAGGAGGGAGCTAGTTTATGAATGACTTTGAATGTCAAAAAACTTTTATTTTCATTTTATCTTGGAGGTAATAGGGAGCCATTGGAGTTTATTGAGTAGGAGGTTGACCTGTAAACTAAAGCCCAGAGAGGTGATATGATTTGCCTAAGGTCCTACGGGTAGCAAGTAGCAGATGCAGGATTTGAACCCAAGTACTCTGGCTCCAAATCCAGAATTAGCCCACTATAAGCAAAAGAACATTGGACTTGGAATCAGGTGACCTGGGCTCAAAATGCAGTTTTGCTACTTATAAGTGTGATGGATAAATAGCTAAATATCTCTGAGCCACAGCTTTCTTGTCTGTAAAATAGGGATATTTCTACCATCTCCCTCTTGGACCTTGGAGCTGGGTTTGGCAGGAGAGCACAGCTATTTGCATACCACTGACTGAAGTACAGTCTCAATGAAGGTTGTATTTTTACATGGACACCCTTTTACATCAAATGGAGTGCAGACAGTAAGAGAACACTGACTTAGCTAGCTAGATCAGCCAAATTAACCCTGGTTATCAATGGAGTGACTGATGTAACCAGATTGCTCTCATATCTGAGAAACCACATGGTCTGGTGAGGAGAGAGCTCATTTTGGAGGCAAAAAGACCTGGGTTTCAGTCCTACCTATATAAAGGCTGTGTGAGCCTGGGAAAATCACTTAACCTCTCTGATCAGGACTAATCACTAAGATTTATAGATATTTGACTATAAAAGTTACAGAAAAAGTGCTAGCTGGTTGAGATAATTTTCTTTCCAGAGTTCCCTATATTAATGAAATCATTAGCTCCCTACTCTCATAAAGTGGTTATACGCAAAGTACTTTGTAAACCTATATATATTTAGGCAATTGGGGTTAAGTGACTTGCCCAAGGTCACACAGCTAGTAAGTGTCAAGTGTTTGGTCTGAAGTCACATTTGAACTCAGGTCCTCCTGACTTCAGGGCCAGTGCTCTATCCACTGCGCCACCTAGCTGCCTTTTATAAACCTTAAAGCTCGATTAAATTAATGTTGTTATTTAGTAATTTTTTACTCATGTCCTACTCTTTGTGGACATTTTTTGGATTTTATTGGCAAAGATATTGGAGTGGTTTGCCGTTTCCTTGTCCAGTTCATTTTACAGGTGAGGAAACTGAGGCAAACAGGGTTTAAGTGACTTGCCCAGGATCGTATAGCTAGTAAGTATCAAGGCCAGACTTGAACTCATGAAGATGAGTCTTCCTGATTCCAAGCCCTGTGCTCTATCTGTTGCACCACCTAGCTGCCCCATTAATATTGGAGTTATAATTTGACAGAGCCACCCTTGCCTGCCAAAAATGAAGGCTTGGGAATAATTGATATATATGTGCTTTGCCCTATGATAAAAAACAAGACTTCTCTAACCTGAGAGCATCATTTAGAATCCTCTGTGGTTAGGATTAGACTTTCCCTTTCTCCAATCACCTCTATTTATTTCAGCCTTTCCTAAAGAGGGAGAAAGGATGGAATAAAGAGTAGGGATTTGGCTCCTGAAATACGCAGCATGAACCAGGTGCCTATGTCATCCTCTGAATCTCTAGGACTCTAGCCTCCCTCTTTGTCCTCCCTATATCTCCACTAGATCCCATAAAATCTTCATCTCTTTCCACCCAGCACTCTGCTGAGAAGAGTGGATCGAAATTAACTCTCTCTCATTGCCCTGCTCAGTCTAGTCCTGCTCAAAGAAAAGATCAGTCGTGTGTTCTTTTCCTGTGGGCTCTTGAGAGAATCTTACCCTGAGCTGGCTCTTCTCTTGCTCTCAAGACTTTCCCAGTAAGATCATTTGTGGAAGAGGGAATGAAGTACTTGAGCTTGACCTTTAACCTTAGAACTGAATGACAGAACCAGACAGCAGCCTTTAGTCCAAGCAGTCATAGAGGGAAGGCAGCTGCTACTCTCCTATTCTTTTAAACGCTTATCTCAAATATCTGAGAGCCACTCCACCTCAGACTATAAACTACATGTAATTCCACACTTTGTACAACACTTTGTATACTCCTAAGTCTCAATAGAAATTCATTCAACTTTAAGACAAATACATTTCAACTTTTTAAAAAAGGATAAAAATGTTTTAAACCAAACTGACTAATATCTCAGTCTAACAGAAACTTACCTGATTGTGGAAGGGCTTCAATAAAGTCAAACACATGCTTCTCTAAATCATCTAAGTCTGTGAATGGGCGTTGGGACCAGATGGCTGCTGCAATCAGGGGGCATTTCTCTATAATGTTCCCCAAAACATCAACAAACTCCCCAAAGTCCATGGAATTGACCATCTGGATATCCATGCCTCACTTTCTGCAGGAAAAACAGCAAAGTCCCACCAGGGAGCCGGAGAAAGAATGAGTGTCATTCACAGAGTTAACTTGGTTTTATTTGCTGAGTATGCAGGTAAAAAACTTGTTTGCATGCATTACCAGCTTGGAATGTTTTAGATGCCCTCAGGTGAAGGTGAACAGGAAATATTGTGTAATGAACAAACACCATGAAGAGAGGTAAAGTCAGGCAGAGGAGATATGTGCAGCTAAACATTGCCAACTTGTTGACATAATAAGAGCTTATTTGGGATGTTGTTGGGAGGGAGAGGGAGGACAAGACTATTTGTAATCTTTGAGCTCTGTCATTCAAAGCATTTGAATTATACCTAGTATTGGTGCCATTAATAGTTTTATATCATCATGCTATAGATTATTCATGGCAGTGAGCTTGGTGTATGATCCAACGTAGGCTATTCTTCTTGATGTCAGCTTCCTATGGGATCCTACACACAATTCATAGATCTGTATCAATATCCATTTCCATGTCTATTTCTGTATCTGTGAAGAAGCATCCTGAACTCTGAGGAAGAAAGACTTTGTTAGGTTCAAGTCTCTTACCCAGGATTAAGTGACTTGCCTAAAGCTTGTACTGCTGGAAGATGGGCTTGAGTCCATGTCTTCCTGATTTTGAAACTGACACTTTCTGTGCTACCCAAATATCATTTGTGTGTTTGTTTTTTAAGGAAAAATTCTCTTTTTAATCAGATGTTCAGCCAGTTCTTTTAGTGTGTGTGTATGTGTGTGTGTGTATACATATGTATGAGAAAGTTTGGTGTAGTAGTGGACAAAGAACTGGTCTCAGAGTCATAAAACCTAGGTTCAAGTCCCACCTCTGACATGTACTGGCTGTGTGACTCTGGGCAAGTCATTTAACTTCTCAGCGCTCCAGGTAACTCTCTGAAGCTCTAAGGTACACAGCAATTGCAGATCTGAATTTGTAGAGGGAATTTCCTCTTTGGCAGTTTCCTATACCAATGAAATCACAGGTTTTATTCTGCCCTCCACCCTCAATGTGTGTATATGTATGTATACATACACATATACGAAATATATCTAACATAATACACATTATATAATATTACATATAAAAGAATTGGGGTTAGCCATTAAAGACCATGACCCCTCATTTTTTGCATGTAAATAAAAGAAAGGAAGAGAAGAAAAAGAAGCAACATGGCTTTTGACCTAGAAAAGAAAAATTGAAATTTTCCCTTTAGTACTGAACATCAAATGTGAAAAAAAAATCAAGCTTATCAACTGCACTGTTACTTCACAATCAAATTTCAAAAATAAGAAGAAAGAAATAGCATTGGATTAATAAATAAATCCTGTGTGTCAGTTACCAAGTCTTATAGATTGTGTATCCACAACATCTCCCACATTAGTCCCATTTTTCCACTCATGTGGCTATTGCCATGGTCATTCAGACCTCTCTCTTCTCATGTCTAACTGTTGAGACAATTTAACTGGACACCTACCTTCCCTTGCCAATTAATTGTTCACACTCCTGCTGAAAGAACAAGCTTAAGTCTGTTCCTCCCATGCTCAGTTGCTTCTAGAATAATACAAACTCCTCAGCTTAGCATTTAACTCCCTATATCATCTAGCTCCAGCCTACCTCTTCAGATGCATTTTAAAAATTAAATCTTAGCTTTTTAGTCAATGAAAATTGGCTTCCTTTCACTATCCTTCTCCTTTCACCAGAAAAACAAAATCCATTTTATAAATATGTATAATCAAATAAAACAAATTTCCGCATTGGTCATGTCCGAAAAAAAATATGCCTCAACTATACTGAGTACCTGTCTGTCAGGAGGCTGGTATCATGTTTCATCATGAGTCAGTCATCTCTGGAATCCTGGAATCATGGTAGGTCATTATGTAGATAAGAGTCCCTAAGTCGTTCAAGGTTGTTTGTCTTTACAATATCATTGTAATTGTGTAACTTGTTCTACTGGTTCTGCTCATATCACTATGCATCAATTCATACAAGTCTTCCCAAGTTTCTCTGAAATCTTCCCCTTCATAATTTCCTAAGGCACAGCTGTATTCAATTATATACCATAAATTATTTGGTTATTTCCCAGTTGACTGATGCCCTCTCATTTTTCAGTTCTTTGCCACTACAAAGGGTGTGTGTGTGTGTGTGTGTGTGTGTGTGTGTGTGTGTGTGTGCGTGTGTGTGTGTATACCCTTTTCCTAGGTAGCACAGGGCACTGGACCTGGAATCAGAAAGACCTGAGTTCAAATCTAGCCTCAGACACTTACTAGCTATGTGAACCTGGGCAAGTCACTTAACGTCTTTCCACCTCAGTTTTCTCATCTGTAAAATCAGGATAATAACAGTACCTACCTCACAGGATTATTGTGAGGGAAAAAACAATATTTGTAAAGCACTCCATAAACTTTAAAGCATTATGTAAATGCTAGTTATTATTACTATTTCTTTTTTCTTTCATCTCTTTGGGATATAGATCTAGTAGTGTATCATTGGGTAAAAGGATATGCACAATTTAATAACTTTTAGGGCATAGTTCCTACTTGCTTTCCAGAATGACTGGACTGTTTCACAGCATTAATGCACTTGTTGTCCCATAGCTTGTCCAATATTCATCATTTTCCTTTTTTGTCAACTTTGCCAGTCTAAGGGAACCTCAAGGTTGTTTTAATTTAACCTTCTCTAACTACTGGTGATTTGGAGGATTTTTATATGACTATTAATAGCTTTGATTTTTTCCATTGAAAACAGCCTGTTCATGCCCTTTGACCATTTATCAATTGGGGAATGACTTTTATTCTTCTATCTCTTCAGCCTTATTATACACTGCTCTAATTCTTGCATTCTATCGTTGATCTAGACAAACCGGCCTACTTGCCGTTTCTTTAACTCCTCAATCCTTTTCCTCCTTTTCTGTCTTTGCACTACCCTCCGCCCTTCTGCTTTTTAGACTCTGTAGAAAACTTCAAGGTTCAGTTCATATACCATCTCCTACAGAGAGCCTTTCTTGATCTCTTTAGTTGTTTGTACTCACTTTTCAAAATTATTGCATATGTCCTTATCTGTTTGCACATTGTTTCTTCCCCTCTTTCTTCTCCTAGTTCCTACTTCAATGTTTCAGACTCTGAAATCCATCCTGTGCTGCCTCCTCTTGTAACCTCCAGTGCCAGGATTAACTACCATCCCAAGCTCCTTCCCTAGTCCTAGTTTTTCACCTCAGCTAAGAATTGCTCTGTGGTAGGGTTTGCTGTATCAGGACAGGGCAGAGGCAATAAAGAACTGGAGGGAGATAGGGAGATGGAAAGTCCCTTTGTTAAGTTCTCATTTTGGCTCTTCATTAGCCCTCCTAGAGCTACAACACTTTCACAGCAGAAGGCCAGAATCAATGGACTAGTGGTGAGAAAATCCCAAACCATCTAAGAAACCCCCCTCATTGGTAATAAAAACAATCTGTTTTATTACAATTAAATTAATTTTAAACAGAAAGCAAGTCATCACATGACAACATAAGGAGACAATTTAATTCAACAGATATCTTTTTTTTTAATCTTCTAAGAACCTACTGTGCTTCCTGTGTGGTGCCTCAAGAAAACCATTTCCATTCATTTGTAATGCTACTAAATGTCTTAGCATTTTGTTTTGCTTTGATTCTTCAGCTTTAAACCTGATCTCACCTGAGAATTAATAAATGAAAAGAGGTTGGTACACCCTGGACTCAATGAATCTTGGAGGAATGATCAGGTTTTCTTGAGGAATTAAGGATTAGACTTGTAGCATTAAGAAAGAAAACAGAAGAATCTTCTTGAAAAGTAATTTTTCCTCTGAATGTACATGTCCCTATGACCCAATGACAGTCAGCAGTAGTTGCTTGGAGGTACAGGACTTCACATTCCCTGTGCCAAAAATTCAGGAGAGAGAAAGATGCTTCTGGCAACTCAATTGGACCTCTGGACACAGTTTTCCTATGGACACTTTATGATAAATGGTGATGAGATTCTGTAGTATTATTAATTAGTATAGTAGTATACTTGAATATGTTATAATTTAAGTAGACTTTTGTGATCTGCCTCAGGAATCTACTCACCACTTAAAAGAACAGTTTTCTGGATGAATGCATTATGGGATCCAAGCAACTAACTTACAAGGCCCCCATGTGATTTTATGAGGACTTCTTGTGTCTGTAAATCTGTATAACACTTAGTAAAATAAGCAAAATACTATCTGTGTGACCTAGGGCAAACCATTTCATTTCTCTGGGCCTCAGTTTTCTCATGTGTAAAATGAAGAAAGGACTAGGTGCACTATAAGGTTTCTTCTAATTATGTATCTATGGTCTTATGATTTCAGGGTTCCTACAGAGTTAGCGGAAGTGACCAAGTATTGGCCAAAAGCGTGTGAGCAATCAAACTCAATAATCTTTCCAGAAACAGCCCTATTCCACTATTTGCATTGATAAAACCAATATGAAAAATGTAAATTTGTTGGGGGGACAACCTTGTATGCAGTAGCATCTTTAGGGCTCAGGCTCACATATGTACTGATTTGTGGGTTGCTCAATTAAAAAAAAGTCCTAATACTTGGTTTTTACAAAATTTTTCTTCAAAGCGAGAAGTTTTATTAGCAGCAGGCAAGAAGAAATATTATCTGACCTCAAGCAAAAATCAAACTCATTTTATAGTTGTAACGCTTCCTTATTCTTTAAACCATTTGCCTTTTTAGTCAGGGGAGATTAAATTGAATCATTTTAAGTGAAAAATGAAACGAATGAATGAAAAAAGCATTTATTAAGCACTTAGTACCAAGCATTGTGCTAAGTAAGCATTGGAGATAAAGAGAGAAAATCAAGTCAGTTCCTGCATTCAAGAAGATTATTTTAAAAATGTGATTTCAGTCAGTTGGATGAGTTCCTTTCTCCTCATCAGCAAGTAATGGACTGACCCCTGGAGCCAGACTAGTTCTGCAAATGGTAATCCTGGGGCGCCACCTACTGGTTGCATTGATAAA